TTTCTGTGTGTGCTGAATTTTTCTCCTGCAGTTAAAATACTGATATACATGGTATTTGGATTATAGTAAGTGATTATATTCATTTTAACTGTGTATATTTACAGAGAAGCAGGCGGCACCTTTGGCAAGATGGAGGCTGCCAGAGAGGAGGAGTACTTCAGAAGAAAGGTAAATTTGAGGAGGAAAATTCTCTCTTTCTCTCTCTCTCTCTCTCTCTCTGTTAAAAAGAGAAAGATAGAGAGAAAGGGAGAGATGGAGTCTTTAAATACATTTTATTTGTTAATTCAAGGTTTAACATTTTAACCAGGTATCTAAATAGTGAAAGAAAAACATGGAGCTATAAATGATGTTGTTCATGTTTAAATTGTATTGGAAAGGCAGCAAGTCATGTAATTTTTTAAAGAATATATATATCTATGCAAAGTTTGAAATCTTTTGCAAGGAAGAAGTGTCCAACTTGAAATATAAATGTCAGTTATGTCATATTTTAGAACGCAGAGCAACTTGCTGAAATAAAGAAAATTCACGAAGATCAGATATCATACCATGAAGAAGTGATAAAACATCACCAGGTGAGTTTTGTGTTAGTTTATATCAAATTGAAACTGAATTATAGTACATTTAATTTAAAAGGATTTAATATCAGGTGTGCAAAGAGTTGGCATTTTCAAATGTAAATCGATTGCCTTACAATTTTATTTCCAGGCAGTGAAAGTCAAAGCTGGACTCCAACTTTTCTCATATCATTTACTTTGTGCTCTGTGGTTGAAATGTGGACTGCATACTCTACTTTCAGGATATTATAAAACGTCATAAGAAACTGCAAAAGGATTTGGACCATTTGGAAAGTGATAGTGACAGCGATGATGATAAAAAGAAATAAAGTTAGATATATTTATGTGCTCCCTCTTAGAAATATAGCAAAGCTGCATGCCTGCGATGTATACCTTTGCTTTTCTCTCTCTCTCTATATATATATATAAATATATAATAGTCAATAGCCAGATCTGTAGACAGGAAAGAAAGGGGGCTGGGTTTGAACAATACTGTTAAGTTTTGATTCAGAGTGGACCTTTTTTTGTCCTTTTGGCTGGGAATAGATCCTCTCTGAATCTAGATTTGATCCTAGTTATATAAGAATTTTTTTTGTAAAATAATCCACTTTTTCAAAAAAAAAAAAAAAAAAAAAAAAAACCCAACCCCTGCCCCTTCAAATGACTGGCTTCACTCCTGGCCTGATTGCAAATGCCTTTTTCTGCTTGCTTTACACTCTGCTTTAGGAACAAGATGAGGCTTTGCTGTCTGCTTGCTTTTTCCAGACATAGAATTTCATCAGCTGATTTAATCGACTGTCAGTCAGCATCGAAAATCAGTTATTGTTCTCTGTCTGTTAGGACATCCAGTTTAGCAGAGAATAATAACTATAATTGATGATAAACAAAATTCTGTTTTTCTGTCTCTGTCTCTCTCTCTCTACAGCAAGGAGGAGAAAAGTTGCAATATTCGGTACAGCACTATAATAAAACAAGTTCGGTATATACTGTGTGTTAAAGCATGTCTGTTGCAAAATGGGCAATTTTACTCATGCAATTGTGCATTCTGGTTTTAAATTATCTGGTTTTAAATTGCTGGAAGTTGCCTGAAAATTCAAAATGGTGATGTGCTCTTTAAATTTTTTTATATATATTTTTTTACGGAGGGTACGAAATTGGTTTTAGTTGTAGATGTGTTTGTTATCGGTGTGATAGTTTCCTATCATTTAGGAATCCTTTGTTTACATAGTGATTTATGTGTAGATTTTGCTTTAAGGAAATTATTTTGCACTGTGTAGTAAATGCATGGAAAATTGTTTATATTAGTACATAAAAATGCTGTAAATACTAGCACATAATCTAACTTATTAGAATGCATTATAACATAACATCACTTAAAGATATTGTGTTATGTATATAAATATATGTATTGGGTTTAAAAACCTTTTTTGCTATGCTTATGTTTTGAGTGATGTTTATGTCAATTCTAATAAAAATTGTTAGAATAACACCCAGCTTCACATTCTTGTGAAAATAAATAAATAAATAAATAAATAAATAATGTATTAAAATGAATTTGCCTTAAAAAGTGAAGCTTTTTTATTCTTTTACATTTTTTACAAGTTTTTTTACTTTTTATTCCAGGAAAGTATTGACAAGATTAAAAGCCATCACCACTACGAAGAAGACGATGATAAGGATGATAAGAAGTAGGACAAGTAGAAGAGATGGGACACAAGGACCTACTTAGGCCGCTCACAATTTATCTGACAATTGGTTAACATTTTTAACAATGAGGGAGTGGGGCACTAGCTTTCTACAAAATGTGTTTAGACTCGTATCATCAACAAAAATAAAGGTGAATTTCAGCTTTGAAATTCATGCCTTTCACCGTGGTAAGGGTCTTTCTTTCATTGTTTATTTCAGTGAAATGCTGGAGAGATGGCAAGAGAATAGCAAGTTGAAAGAAAGTCATCACGTAGATTGCAGTTAAAAGTTTTCCTCCCCCCAAATAGGACTGTTCGTCACAGTCTGTTCTTTCAGTCACGTACAATGCCAGCTAATTTGTGAGCCTGCAATGCATTTAATAACCTCCAAGCACTTAAAGGACAGAGTTGGTGTGTGATGTTCACTTGTATACTACACCCATTTGATTTAAGACTTTTTTCTGTGACATTTCGAAGAACCACTAGGTCTCAAATTGTTTATAGTGTTTAATTGTTCTATAACTGCCACATGCTTGATTACTGTGTAATTGATATGATTACAAACTTATTAGTGTTCTCTTCTCTTTCCTCTAGCTTAAATCTGTCATTTAATGATGTGTTGTTTAGAACATCCTTGTGTGAGTGGATTTGTTGTTTATTATCAAATAAATAATTGGAGAGAATGGTTTTAGTTTTGTATTTTCTGATGATGAAAAAGTTACCTACTGTTGCAGCTTGTTAGTATTACTTCCAAACACAGTTTAGTTGTTTTATACATTTACTTCTACCTTTTGCTGTTTCAGAAGTAATTGTTTAATAAAAAAAAAAATGCCGTCTATCTTACTAAATGCTACTGAATTTCTTTGAACTTCTTATTTTTACAAAAGTATTTTCTTATATTTCTTTGCTGTTTGGTCCCTGTAATCGTCTAGCTTTAATTACAAGTTTTTGTTTTCTCAGACCTAGTGCATCAAAGTAAAACAAACCAGATTTCCACTGCTGACGTTACCGGTATGTCCTTCACTGAAAAATAAGTAGTTGCTAGGAAACCAACTCTAAAAAACAAGTGGTTGCTAGGAAACCAGCTGTCACTACACTTTATCAAAGTGTGCCAGAATACCCCAGTGGTCGCTAGGGAACCTCCTACATCCTGGTATTCTCTCAAGTCCTGTCAACTCAAAGTAAACTGGCTTCAGTTGCGTCCTTGGAGTGCTGTGTCTGATGTACAAACGGTCAAATCGACATTTTGGTCTAAAGCGTGCTTGCCATTCCAAGTTGTCATTGCGTGTAAGGTCCCAGGTGAAAGCGGCTTCTTTACGTTTTCCTGTGACCTCCCAGAGGTCATATATGTTGTCAGGGAGACCTCCAATGGCAGCAAGCTGGGAAATAAACAGAAATGCTTCAGTTTTCACATTCAGGCTTTTCTAACAAAAAAAAAAAAAAAAAAAAAAAAAAAAAAATCTCCCAATTGAACAGTAAAAGTACTGCTGGTTATCAAAATTTGCTATAAAGCATTTAAATATTTTAAATAAAATACCATTTTAAATTAGTAAAAAATATTATTTAAACAAACTAAAGAGAACCTGTTGTCATTTGTGTAGTATTACTGTTAAGTTTTCAACTTGAAAATTTATGGACTAACAAATATTACAAACTAAAATATGTCTCACTTTTGCCCAAATGAGAAATGCTCTCTATTACTAGAACATATAGTATAAGGGGTTTTAACTCCTAGACTGGAAACATAAAGAAATTCTCCCATTTTGTCTCTTTAACACACAAAATACTTCAAATAATATGTGCAAGGAGTAACTACATTATCTTGGCTTGCTTCATCACAAATGTGTCCTTAAAATATTGCACATGTGCTGAGCTTTTGATCTGCCTTGAATTAGGGAGCCATTGGATGCTCACAAAAATCAAGACATCCTGCTTTGGTGTTTAACCTCTTTCAGGGGCGGACGGAGACCGTCTTCTGGGTCTTCCGGAAGACAGTCAGAATTTTTCAAGTTACATTGACCAGCATGTAATTATCTCTGTCAGAAGATGGCCAAAAATGGAGGATGGATCAACAAAGATAATTTGAAAGACTGTCACAGACTTGCGCCTAGGTTTAAAAAAATTTTTGAACATTTATTATAGGACCCAACGCCAATTTTATTGAAGATCTTGAAGAATCTCAGGAACCATCAGAATTGAATTACAAAACTCGGAATACTGCGTTTCTGCAGAAAAAGCTCAAGTCTGCTGTCAGAAACTATCTCTGGATCTGCCCCTGCCCTATAGCTAGCTTGTATGATATGTACCTCTGGGTCACGTAAGTTCAAGTCTCCACCAAACACTACAGTCCTGCTGCCCTCCGCCTCAGTGACAGCCCTAAGAGCTGCAGTAAGTTGTCTCTTTCTCTCTTCAGCATGTTCTTTGGTGGACTCCAGGTGACTGGTGATCAGTGTCATTGGAATGCCTTTCACTTCTACCTGAAATTATATTATAAGGGTTTGCTTGAAGTGCTGCTATATTTTAATTTTGGTGTCAGCTATTTCTCTCTCTCTCTCTCTCTCTTTCAAAACTGCTGATTATTGTGGAGTTTTTTTCAGACTGTTTATAAAGCATCATTTTTTTCATCTCTTCATCTTTTTCAAACACACTCACACATGCACAAACATGTTCACTCACAAATATCAAACACACACAAACATACAGTGACATGTACCAAACATGCAGACAAACGTGCTTGTGCACACACATACATACACACACATGCACACACACAGGGGAGGATCCAGAGATGTTTTCTGACAGTCTTCCAAAATAGTTTCTGACAGCCTTCCAAATTATCTTTGTTGCTCCAGCCTCCATTTCTGACCGTCTTCTGACTGAAAAATAGATAAATAGATACCCGTCAATGTAAACTTGAAAATCTGACCGTCTTCCAAAAGACCCAGACCCATAAATCTGCCCCTGCACACATACACACACACACACACACACACACATGAGTGCACATACACTGGACAAACCTGTGCACTCTGCAGTGCCCTCCCCATCCTACTAGTGTAGAAAGGAACCACTTTGGTCTCTGTACATTTTACTGTCTGTTTCTTCAGCAACATGGCTGTGTAGTAAGCATCACTGGCTGCTTGGAACCGTTCGTAGCTGGGACCACAGTGCTTGTCAAAGATGTCTGACATTTCAGTGACAAACTCTTGAAGGAATACTACATCGGGGGTCTCCCTGCAACAAGGATTTAAACTATCATTTCACTATTTATTTATCAGCCAGTTTATCCATATAAAATTATATCACGTAAAATATGACTTCTGGTCCAATTGAATTTATTCCTTAATTCATTAATCTATCTGTCAAATATTATTTATGAAGCTACACTGTATCAGTTCATGCTTATTCATTTTTTCATAGTAAGTGCATGCATTTTTTTACAATGACAGTGATTTACCATTGACATTACAGAATAACACCCCTCCCCTGGCATTGAGCAGAATGCAGACAATTAAGCTGGTGGTTATATGAGCACATCAGAAACTAGGAGACGTGTTAATCAGTTAATCTCGTTGCATTCAATAACAGTGCCTGAGAAGCTGTATCAATCTACGTAGAACAATTATACCTTCATAGGGAAAGAGATCTGATAATTTCAAAATATTTTTTATTGGAGTACTCTTTGGTATATCTATAGAAATATTTATACAGGAGACTTGTGAAATGGCACCAGCTAGGATGGCATACCTCATAATATTTTCACAGACAGCTTTGGCCCTGGTTCTGATATTTCCCATGTCCAGTCCATCAATGTTCCAAGATAAGATCCTTATTCTGTGAGGCTCAGGGTCCATGCTGAAGAACGATTAAAAAAAGTTGGCTCTTTTCTTTTAAGTCTGAAATATTTTGATACTGAATTTAAAATCATCACCTAGGGTTTTTTGTTGTTTTTTTTAAATCCAGTGGTAGCTGAACATGTCATATAGGGATTCATTACTAGAGGGTGGGGAATACTCCCCCCCCCCCCGCCAAATCACCACTCACCAAGATTAAAACAACTCAGTCGCCAATCACCAAGGTCTTTGACCAACATTACTGTAAAGCTAATGCTATATTTTCACAAATCATGCTCATTTAGAAGGTGAATAGCCAATAATGCCTACGAATATAAACCAACCATGCAGATCAATGAAGTCCCTAAATCACACTTCACACTAGATTTTGGTCCCTAAAAATGCATCATGATCATAAAACAAGGCAAATCATGTGGAACACAAAAGGTATTCCCTACCGTCTTTTTACACACTTTAAAAAGTCTTCATAACACAACTTAATTCTTCCTTATTTGGGATCAATCTGCATATACTGGTTATACAAACATTTACCTTGGAAGAGATGGACTCTGTGGTGTCATCACAGTAGATGCCGAACTTCCAGTACTCTTACTACCAGCTGCTTCAAAGTCATTCTCCTCAAAGAAAGCATTCACTGCTCTCTGAAAACAAAGCTAAGTAGATTCACAGATGCTAGTACCTACTAGTACTGTAACAATCAAGAAGTGAAATACAATGGGCGACTGGAGCTTTGAAAGTTTCAATACTTGTTAAATTCATAATACAAACCAACTGAAAAAATCATTTAGTGTTAATTAACAATTCAATATTGGGACAGTGAACACTAACACAAATTATAATATAATTTCACACCCTTTCTTGTACACCAGAAAATTGCTCATGTCGCAAAATTTCATGTGCAAATTAACATTTTATGTCCATAACTCACCTAACTTAATCGCCATCATTTTGTACCAGGCCAGGGTAACAGCAGAAATAAGGCCAATAACCAATACTATACCTGCAAGTCCCAGTCCCTGTCTTGAAGATAAAACATCGCCAACGCTGTGTCCGTGTTTGTGAGAGCTGCAAACTCCTTGGAACGCCGATCACATTCCTGGGCAGATGGTAAGTTGCTCTCGTCTTCCGAGTCGCTCATTTTGCTGCAAAAATTGACTGACACTCTCCGAGCATACGGGAAAACAAGTTTATTGAGGGCAACTGAGAAAAGACTTTTCAGAGCCAGTTTTATTGACCTTGGCCTTGCGCGAAACCGAGGCTCAACGATGTTCCATATTTTTGGGGGAAAGACAGGAGGAGAGATTAGTTTTACTTAAAATTTTCTATTTAGTTTTCTTAATTGTGTATCAAAACATGCAAGTTTAAAAAAAGTTAATTCATTTTATTGTTTGCATTAGACATGTCTAACTGAGAGGATGTTTGACTTTCTNAAATATTTTGATACTGAATTTAAAATCATCACCTAGGGTTTTTTGTTGTTTTTTTTAAATCCAGTGGTAGCTGAACATGTCATATAGGGATTCATTACTAGAGGGTGGGGAATACTCCCCCCCCCCCCGCCAAATCACCACTCACCAAGATTAAAACAACTCAGTCGCCAATCACCAAGGTCTTTGACCAACATTACTGTAAAGCTAATGCTATATTTTCACAAATCATGCTCATTTAGAAGGTGAATAGCCAATAATGCCTACGAATATAAACCAACCATGCAGATCAATGAAGTCCCTAAATCACACTTCACACTAGATTTTGGTCCCTAAAAATGCATCATGATCATAAAACAAGGCAAATCATGTGGAACACAAAAGGTATTCCCTACCGTCTTTTTACACACTTTAAAAAGTCTTCATAACACAACTTAATTCTTCCTTATTTGGGATCAATCTGCATATACTGGTTATACAAACATTTACCTTGGAAGAGATGGACTCTGTGGTGTCATCACAGTAGATGCCGAACTTCCAGTACTCTTACTACCAGCTGCTTCAAAGTCATTCTCCTCAAAGAAAGCATTCACTGCTCTCTGAAAACAAAGCTAAGTAGATTCACAGATGCTAGTACCTACTAGTACTGTAACAATCAAGAAGTGAAATACAATGGGCGACTGGAGCTTTGAAAGTTTCAATACTTGTTAAATTCATAATACAAACCAACTGAAAAAATCATTTAGTGTTAATTAACAATTCAATATTGGGACAGTGAACACTAACACAAATTATAATATAATTTCACACCCTTTCTTGTACACCAGAAAATTGCTCATGTCGCAAAATTTCATGTGCAAATTAACATTTTATGTCCATAACTCACCTAACTTAATCGCCATCATTTTGTACCAGGCCAGGGTAACAGCAGAAATAAGGCCAATAACCAATACTATACCTGCAAGTCCCAGTCCCTGTCTTGAAGATAAAACATCGCCAACGCCGTGTCCGTGTTTGTGAGAGCTGCAAACTCCTTGGAACGCCGATCACATTCCTGGGCAGATGGTAAGTTGCTCTCGTCTTCCGAGTCGCTCATTTTGCTGCAAAAATTGACTGACACTCTCCGAGCATACGGGAAAACAAGTTTATTGAGGGCAACTGAGAAAAGACTTTTCAGAGCCAGTTTTATTGACCTTGGCCTTGCGCGAAACCGAGGCTCAACGATGTTCCATATTTTTTGGGGAAAGACAGGAGGAGAGATTAGTTTTACTTAAAATTTTCTATTTAGTTTTCTGAATTGTGTATCAAAACATGCAAGTTTAAAAAAAGTTAATTCATTTTATTGTTTGCATTAGACATGTCTAACTGAGAGGATGTTTGACTTTCTAAGATATAAATAAGTGGGGTTTTATTTATAAACGGAAGTAGGGACGAAAGCGAGGCTGCGTACACACGTGGAAACAAAACATTAATCGAGAAGAAGAGAAGCTGTAGACGTCAGATTTACCGCAACTTTATCACAGACAATGGTGCGCAAGCAAGCAAATGATCCCAGGCAGACGAAGAAAATTTCGGAAGGAACGTCGGGGGAGGAAAAAGACGCTCCAAGTGATGGAGCTGGGGATGCTAAGCCGAAGGTACATTGTACAGGGAAGTGACGGTGTTAACCGTAATTATTGAGTTTAATTTATAACCTCGTGGGTTTAAGACCACAGTAACCAATTTTAGGGAGATAAGCCCCTCACCCACTCTTGAGTATTCTCTTGCATGTTACTAAGACTTTTTACTCTATTTTTTAGTGTTTTTATACCATTACAATTGCTCTTAATATATGTTTGCTATTCCGGGTATGCAATATAGTTGAGTGTTTGTACCTTGAATGTAAAAGTTGTCCATAAGTAAAGGTTCTCTATTCTCAATAGATATTGGTATTATATTTTCATAGCATATCTATATCTTTGACACCATGCAGTGAAATTAGTCTATATTTTCAACAGAGAATGAACAGGTATATTTTTATAATTACAGCCTGCAAAGGATGGCAAAAAGAAGAAAAAAGAGAACAAAGAAGGCAATGTAATGCAGGCGGACACAAAGACGTTCAGATCCACGCTGGTGGGAAGCCTGAAGTACATCTTGTTGATCATCATTCTGCCTCCTTTTTTGAACTACACAGCCTTAGTCAGGGAAGGGTCTTATCTGAAGCCTGAAGTTGGTAATAATAAGTGATGTCAGTGATCACATAAAATATATATTATGTGTTACCTGATATGTGGCAGCAAGACATGGATTTCTGCAAAACAACTTAACAGCAATTACATACTTGAAACAATACCAGCATTACATTTTTTTTAACATAGTTATCAATGTATGTAAATAAACTGTCCTACTGAAACATGTCAATACCACACTAGTCCTAAATTGAAATTTTTGGAGAAACAAATGAAAAAGGGGGGGGTATTTTAATTTCAATATTTTATTTACTTGGAATTCCAAAGACCCAGAATATTGGCTGGTTTCCCAACCATGCAATTATAGGAATGAATGATTTTTTTACAAAAAATTTTTTTTTCATTTTTTCAACCTTGTCCTTTCCAGGTGAGCTGTATGATATAGGCTTTGGACAGAAGATGTACCTGGGATGTATGGGTAGTGGATCTCCAACAGGTGATATATTTTTTATTCAGTTTTCATTTAGTTTAAATTTAAATATTTTGTGTCATTTCATGTACAGTCAGCATTCCACCTATAGGAAAATATCTGCCTTTTGGACATTTGTCTTACAAGGATGAATTTGTATATATCTTTGTTTATTATTATTATTATTATTATTATTATTATTATTATTCCAGTGATCCTAGATGCCCCCACTGGGATGACCTCAGATGTTTGGAGTTTGGTACTGCCTCTCATTGCCAAGGAAACAAGAGTAAGATCACACAGATAATACAGAGTACTGGTTCATGTGTAGTTATTTTTTAAAAGTTACAGTAGAAATACCCTCTACCAGGGCTGCAGATATTATAGGCACATTTTCCACCAGCCAGAGTTAGCAAATTGACCATATTTAGTCAGAGACATTTATGATCTGTGAATATTAGTGAAAAATCAATCAGTGGACCTTGTAGAGGGTACATTAGAAATAGGCTGGAATCCTTTGAGTGTTCATATTTAAAAGTGCTTGTATATGTGTTTGTGCAAATACATATATGTTTTGTCATAAGCAATATACTGGTAGAGTTAATGATGGTAATAATCAAGTTTTCTTAGATCAAGATTTAAATGTAAATCTGTTTTTTTGTTTTTGTTTCCAGGTTTGTGTATATGACAGAGCAGGTTTAGGATATAGTGACAGGCCATATAAAGTGAGTTTATTTTATTTATTACTTCAAACTTTAAAATTGAAATTTAAAAACAAAGAAAAAACTTAATGCTTTAAATGGTTGTAATTTCATTTAATTCCAGTTTGATATTCCTCTTTCAGAATTACAGTAAAGAGGAAGGAGACAAAGCAGATGATCAAAAGAACTTAAGAGACAGGTGGCAGGAATTCACTCTGGAAAGGTGGCTCTTCCATCTTTGAAAAATTCTCTGAAATTTTAATATTTTATGCATATTGGTTGTTAATCTGACTGTTAGCTTGGAGATCTTAATGTAAATTTGTCTCATTAGTGTGAACAGGGCATTATTTACAGTACAAAATTTAAAGAAAAATTTAAAACTTTTTTCCAAAGTTTTCAGTTTTACCTTTTTTATTCAGATATGATAACTTTATATGTTATGTTTGTAAGGATTCAAATCTTCCAGAAAAAAAACAACTTCACTAAAACTAATTTTAAGTGTAAAATTTGTTCTAGTCACGTAAAGTTGATCATATTAATTTCAATAAATATCAAAGAGTGTTCCTTATCATTTATTCAAATTAGTAGTTAATTTGAGTTATGTGGCAATGGGTCATGAAGAGTCAACTATATTCTGATTGTACGGTTGTACTATTTAACAAAATAACTTTTCTTTCTTTTGAATGTTATATAAGAAGTATGTGGCATTTATCTAAACTTTAGAAAAAATTTATTTATTTATTTATTTATTTATTTATTTATTTATGGACAAGTTATGCAGTTTACTGTATATATTTATACCCATATTTGTAAAATGTTTTATTACTTTTCTAGAATGATAGATGATCTCCATAGATTGTTATCACTGGCCAGTCAACAGCCAAAGCCCCTCATTTTGGTGGGGTCAGAGCTGGGGGGTCTTATAGCCAGGGGTTATACACAGTTATATGAAAAGTGAGTGGCTTTTATCTGAACCTTATTTTTTTCTTCCTTCTTTCTCTTCCTTCCTTCCTTCTTTTCATCTTTCCTTCTTTCCTTTCTTTTTTTCTTTCTGAATTACTATAGCGGATGGATAGCTTTTTATAGTCACAAAGTTGCACCAGGCATGCAAAAACACTGATGAAAAATCGTGATTGCCCAGCAAAACATTACCGTTTCATTTTACCCCCCCCCCCTCCCTTTTGCCATATTCTGACAACATATCCACATATTTTGTCTCCAAAAATGTGCTTCAGCTTCAGTATTTCCAGTTACAAGCAGTGTTTGCCTCTTAGGAAAATTAGTTGCTGGACCAAAAGTTCAGCCATCTCAAAAGGTAGCTAGCTCGAATGTCTGCCGGGTGGGAAAACTTCTCAGCCCGTTCTGAAAGTTGTCGGCCCCGGGCAGATGATCCAGCGTTAATTTCTAACACTGGTTACAAGTATATTTTCGATTTATTTGATCATTTCAGTGAGGTAGCCCATGTTGTTCTGGTGGACCCCCTGGTGGAGGATTTATTCCAGCAAGATGAGGGTGTCTGGGCACAGTTCTGGTAAGTAGTGGCTGGAGTGGTGTTTTTATGACCAGTGGGCAGTGCTTGGAGCTGGACACACGCACTGTTGACCACCCTTTAATTACCAGCCCAGACACCTTTACTATGTTAAATTATAAGTAGTTAGCAGTAGTAGCTGGAGGAGGCTTTTTCTGTAGGCAGTAACCTGGCAGTCTTCTTGGTGTTAGACTTGCAGAAGATAGATTACAACAAAAATACATTAATTTTGAAAACAAAAGGTATTGATTTTAATTTATTTAATATGCATGTTGATTTTTAAATTTATTTTTTATTTATTTATTATTATTATTTTTTTAAGTTTGCAGTAATGAATGTGTCTCTGGTGCACTAATAAATGAGTTTACTAATAAAAAGAAGACATCATCCTTATGATGTTGTGTTTTGGTTCCTGTCAATTCTCATTTTGAATAACTTGCGTGTGCGTGTGTTGTTCTTTTTAGGTTTGGACAACTTATTCCTTCATACCAGAGCTTACAGCTGACAGCAGCCATGGGCTTGACAAGACTGGCTCTTCTGACTGGCTACATGGAACAGCCAATTAACAGCCAGCTTGTGTCAGAGGAGGTGGTGAAGAGACAGGTAGAAAGATGTCGCCATTGAAACATACATTTTGGGGCATAATTTCAGCTTAAATATTACTGGCTTAGTGTATGATTTTGATCAACAATGCCATGAATTTTCGAATATAATTTTGTTATCATTGATATGATAAATAAGATCTGAACTACCAAACCAACAACATCAAAAATTATGAATTGAAATCCTAACTGAAGAAAATTGGTATTACTATTAGTAGAAAAATGTTTTAGGAGCTCCAGTCTTAATGTGTTTTTTAATAGTCCTTCGAATATTGGTATTCACTATTTAAATTTTTTTGATTAGTGTTCTTTTGATTGTTATGGCAAAATGTTCATTAGCGAGCAGCATTTACAAGTATCACATTTTTTTAGATCATAAAAAAATTATATAAATGTGCATCAAAACAATTTTTTTCAGAAATATGTCCTTTGTCATCCACGTCACCTAAGCTCTGTAGTTGACGAACATTTCTTCATCAATGACACCTTTTCCCAGATCAAAACCCTGTATTTACTAAAGCCTTTCCCCCAGAATGTCTCTGTGACAGTGATCACTGGAAATTATTACGATGAACAACTTCCAAGTTCATTAAATAAGGTATTGGAATTATATAAATTATTATTATGCTAAATTATAATTTTGTTGATATTATGAGTAATTATTGTCAATCAAGTAATACATAACAAGTGATTCTAACTTCAGATACACATTTTAAGAACTGTCAATGTAGATGCTGACAAAAGTTATTATTATATACTAAATTATACTGATAATGCAAATAAATTACTACCGTAACATCTCATTTAGTGAATTTTGGCAAAATTGAAGAAAAAAAGTTTTACATAACAAGGCATTTATATTAAAAAGGACTTATTACATTACTTCTAACTTAGTATATAAACTGATACACACCTAATAATTTTGAAAGTTAGTTTTGAGACTTCCTCTTAGCAATTAATTTCGAATTTTCAGGCCTGGGCCAAGTCACAAGAAAACTTAATCTCCCGCCTTCATCCTGGCTGTAAACATATAGTGATCAATGGCGCTGACCACAAGAAGCTGTACACTGCCCATCTGGCCGTAGTGGACCCTGTCCTGAGACTGGTCAGACAGTGGAAGACCAAACACAAGGTCCACCAGGCGTGACTAGAGGTGACCAATTGGGCCAAGACGATGTAAAATGGGACATCAGGGAGTGGACGGAATGTTTTGTACTTTTATACTGGGTTTGTTGATTGTAGAATGATCTCTGACAAATGTGGCTATTTAAGATGACTTTAAGGCTTTAAGGTGACTGATTTTCAGCCACCTGGGCTTAAGCCAATAATTGAGTAAGAATCCTGCTTTTGAAACACAAATATGTGAACGAGTAGATAAAAATGCAGACCTTTGCAATGGGTCTTTCGTTCGTCAGAGGCGAAATTGGCCATAAGCAGTTGGCTGGCCAAATTTAGTCTTCAACAAACTCCAGGCCTTAGTACCCAAGAGATGTAATAATATTTCTGAAGACAAAGAAAAGTGCCAAAGATTATATATTAAAGAAATTATAAGAACTTCACTCAGTCATGCTCTTACTTGATCACAAACTTTTATTCTTCGTATGTACAATTAGGCCATATTAAGTCTTGGCCAAAATTTACATTATTCATATTACATAATACTTATTTTTTCACAAATGTATTTGCAGCTACTTACCAACATTTCAACCATTTTTGCTGCGACATAATGATATAATATATAATTTATATCTTAAGATTCACATAATACTTTATGGGTAAGATTATAAAGACGATGTGACATGATTTTAGCTCTTCTTTTCTTTGAATTACATCACCATATAGAAAAACACGGCCATTTCCTTCATTTCAATTCAATTAAAAGTTCATTTTCCAATTCGAAGCAACAGACATAGGCAGGCTTCACAAAAGCTCTTTAAATTCTTAAAATTTAGGTTTTAAAAGAAGAAAAATGCAGGTTTTCTTCAATCTTGAATTAAAGCTAATGCCCTGTAACAAAGGGCTTAAGGCAGCTTAGAGAAAGAATTATGGTCCACTCTTTGGGACCATTCCCACAGATATTTGGATCGATCTATCTCCCTGGGGAGTCTCACTAAATTGCTTTCAAACTATCCTTAATTATCTTTACCCCTAGCTGATTCGGTAGGCGTGACAGACATTTAAGCCTCTTGAGTTAGGTCGGTCTAGATGGATCAATCCAAGTATGGGAACCCAGTCTATGTGTAATTAGAGTAGGCCAAAAATTTGTTCTCCAAGCTGACGTAAACCCAGAGTAATAAAGGGTTAAACTCAAAAAAGTTTTTAAGTTCTACCAATTATTTGGAGGCTGTGCTGTAAGTTGTAGTAGGTCTGTGGCAGGAAGGTTTTTTTGAAACTATTATATATTTTCAAAGACTCAACTCTTTTTATATTAAAATATAAAGAAACTTATCCGAGAAATATCAGTTAAGTTACAGAAGTGGTAGGGTTTTTCTTTTTTATGAACATTCTCTGCCCTTCTTTCTTCCACAGTATTTATTTGCCATAATCAACCATCATTTTGCCAAAAAAATCAGTTCTCAAACACAATATATGATATTTGTAAAGCAATATATGTTGTTTGTACTTGTTCTAGAACTGTTGAAGTGAAGGAACTGACCATCAGTTAAAATTATATGCTATGGTAACTATAAAGAGTCTTTACAGATAATAGAATCGGTATGATTTAAAATGGTGAAGATTTGTGCTAGCAGAAGAGCTAGCAGAAATTATTCCATTAACTAAGAACTGACACGTGTTAAGTGTAGTATAACACAAAGTATATTCATGGTAAGCTGAAGCTTGCCTTGTTAATTGCATTTAATGCATTTTATTAATGATATGCTGCTGTAGTTCTGGTATTGGCACATATAGGAGTAAAAGAAAACATTCTCTAAAAGCATTAAAATAACTAAAATTTAAGTAGATGAAATTGGATATTGCATATCCTAAAACATTCGTCATATTAACTTGAAGAGTAGCTGGTGATTTTCCGCTAACAAACTGGTTTATGTACAAGATGAAAAATATCAGTTCATTAGTTTATTTTTTATAAATCATCCTCAATAAAAAAAGAAAAAATCAGCATGTTTCTGGATACTTTGGTTAGAGTCCACATTTTTATCAGCGGCGTATCTTTATTTTGAGAGGGAAACACTTCCACCGCATCGAATATTTCATTGAATTAGAATGTACAGTATAAAATATCACAAAGATACTACAGGAAATCCCATCCTTTTCATGACAAAATCCCTTTTATCTAACACATCATCTACACTATCTTCTAAATGTCTAAAGGGCAGTGGAAACCATTATTTCTGCCAACTGTAGAAATATTCAGGTTGTAAAATTCATAGAAATCAAGGCTGTAGCCTGGAATTTTAGAAAGGGGGGGTCTTTTTCTGAAAAAGTGGACCTTCTACTGTAACTATGAAACCTTCATGTACCTAAATAAAATTTTACCCAGATGGGACCTTTTCCCAACAAAAAAGGTGTTCTTTTCAACCCCATGAACCCCCCCCCCCCTACTATGGGCCTGGAAAATGTTTATCAATTCAATTGATATCTGTACTGACAATAGATTAATGTACTGGCACAATACACATATTTATCATTGCAAATTTTGTCTTGATATTTGCAAAATTGAAGTGGTTTTAGTGTCTGCTTTTTCTCTCATAATAATATCGTTGATTAATTGGTCCCAGATAAAAAAACTGGTGAAAAAGTCCCAAACGAGTATACACCACTGAAATCAAAAATGATGCCATAGGATTTTTTAAAGTGTCCTTTGTATCAGTGTTACTAAATGATTTTAAGCAAATGCACAGCAAGCAAGTCTGCAAAAGAATTAGGCAAAAGAAATTTCATAATTGTTTCTACTGAAAAAACTTAAAAGCCACGTTAACAATATTTGCTTACGTCACATATTTCTTATATGCTTTCAAGTTAACCAATGTATCAAAATTGCGTCTGGCCTGCAAGCTAAGGTGGTTTTCACAGCCATAAGTGCACTTTTCTTTTTCACACCAGTTTGAGAGAGTTTAAAACAAGTTAAAAAGCTACATTTGAGAGTCAACTGAATGGAGCCCCTTGATTCAGCCTAAAGCCCGGTTAAAGCCTAGGTCCCAACTATGTTTTGGACGCACGTTTTTTTTAGGTTCCTTGCATCCGGCTAGAATGTAGCTAGATCGCAGGGAAGGAATCAAGTAATTGGTGAAAAATTTCTACGTGCTGTTTGCGTCCTCCAAAAGTCGTACGATGGATGTGCTCCTCACATACGAACTCTCACGTTTTCCCCATTTTTTTGGCCGTAGACCACACATAGCACAGGGGCGGATTTATGCCGTCTTCTGGGTCTTCCGGAAGACGGTCAGATTTTCAAGTTTACATTGACGGGTATCCAATTTTTTTCTGTCGGAAGACGGTCAAAAATGGAGGATGGATCAACAAAGATAAATTGGAAGACTGTCTGAAAATAATTCTGGATCCGCCCCTGTAGCGGCCCATACGTTGGGGTTGGGACCTAGGCTTTAATCAAATTACTTTTCATTGGTACACTGGTAGATTGCATGTGAAAGAGAGCATTCAGAACAACATCTGCGGACTAAGGCTCTATTCCCATAGATTTTAGATCGATCTATCCCCGCGGGGAGTCTCACTAGATTACTTTCAGATAATCCGACTTAAATGTCCGTCCCGCCTACTACAAGCTGTAAGGGGATAATTAACTTTCGTGTCCGCCCGGCTGACAGCTATTTAGCGTGAACCCCCAGGGAGTTAGGTCGATCTAAAGTAGGTCGATCTAATCTCTGGAAATGGGGTGTAACAGATCCATGAATAAATATGGCCAAAACATATTAAAGCAAAATGAACTAATCTGATGGTCTCCCCGCCCCAACATGTGACATCTAGCAATTAACCCTCGAAGCCATGAATTAATATGTTTGATGGCGTGTACAGAGGCAAGAAGACCATTAGTGGATTAGTTGGATATGCTTTTATGTGGGTTGACCATATTTGATCCCCGTATCTGTTAGTTTTCAGATCAACTTGTTCCGAGTGCCCTCAAAAAGAGAAGAACCTCAAACTGGAGTGAAGCAGAAAACTGTAGTTCTCTATGTGAAAATGGCCTTAGATATATACTGAATGTATAATTGTAACAATTATACATCCTGGGAGATCATAAATGGAGACATATTTGAATGATTTGGTACATCTTCAAAGCAACTGAGACACAAATTGTATTATCACCAAAAAAGACCTTTAAAGTACCACTGTTGTACTAAATATTAGATATGAAGCCAAACTTCAACAGGTTTTTACACTAATGCAAAAATGAAAAAAATCACAAACAGGAAATAAGCAAGATAACAGATATGTTGGTCTATTTGCTATACCACAGTGAGGTAATTTCCTACAATCTCTCGCTCACCAGGTGGCACTTCACACCTGTTGACAGGCAGGTAGCCATTATTATTTTTATTAACGTGCGTATGTCCATTCTTTCCATTACGATATGGCCCCCTTGTTGGGCTAGGCGTCTTCGATCTCGAACGTGCAATATACGTGGCACCCGTCCTCCCTGCCTCAGTGCGGTGTTTCTTATTATTCGAGTCTGTAAGAAACATGGACTCCTCCCGCTGCGGCTTTTTCAACATACAGAACATCCGCTTCACAGTTTTTCTGAAACGGGCACTAAAAAAATTGTACAAGACAAAATTCAACGCAGCATTAATTTCCACTAACAAGTTACTGAAATTCCCAAATATCTTTCTGTTTAGTATAACTCTGGGGGTGTTTTCTATAAAGCTGGAGACGAGGTATGAAATGGCACTGGGAAGTTGGCACACTAAAAACACTATAACCACTGTTATCAACATCACAGTTATACGCTGCTGTTCTGAATGTTGCTTCTCCTCCCTCTGACTGCCCCCTGAGAGCTCCTTCCGCATTTTGTTTGCTTTCCACACGCAGCGTATTAATAACGTGTTGAATATGATGAGTAAACTAAGAGGAAGGATCACGCACGATATCTGATTGAACCAGATGTAATATACGCTGTATCCATCAGTATTCTGTAAAGCTGTTCCCTGATATATCCGTGTTGGGTTTTTCTCGTACTCCCAAAATTCCGGCAGTGTGATGATAGTGACAAATATAAACACGCATAATATAATCCATCTGGCCCTCTGAGGTGTACACCATCGCTTTCCTTTCATTGGATGCCTAATTCCTATATAGCGTTCCACAGTGAATGTTACAGTAAGCCATACACTGGCATTACTAAAAATATCTGTGAGTGGCCGAATCCAGGCCATAGCTCGCCAGTATGTCCTCATGTCGGCTATCGGTAACTCTTGCCAATTTTTCATCGTGATTGTAAGCGCCAAGATGAGATATAAACTGTCACATGATGCAAGTGCTAAAAGGTAGTAATTGGTGGAAGATTTCATCCATTTTCTGCTGAGAACTATGATGTTCAGCACGTTGCCGATGACGCCGAATGTTACAACAATCGGCACAAATATTTCACAGACTATGAATCGGACCATGAGTAGCGTAGGGTCCTGGTTGATGTCGATGGTATCAGATGCTGATGAATTGCCTTCATTTTCGGTCTTGTTCCAAACAATTTCGTCCCACATCGTTGTACCAAAAGATATGTTGCTTTCCTTTTCAGAGACAAAGTCGCCATATGCTGTGTAATTCAACATATCGACAGACATTTTGGTTTATCAGAGACAGTTTCTTATGAATACAAACTCAGCTCAGTCTAGACAATGATAATATTGAATCAGAAGTACAAGTTGTGTCCATAATATGAGTTTTATATACTCTGTGGTATAAGATTTGATTCATATAATCAAATGTTCACATATTTTCAGATATTCTTCCACCTTTTTCTCTTAAGATCACTCTAAGTTTTAAGATCTCCTCTGTGGCAGCAAGTTGAGCTCCAGATCACAACTGAACACAATCAAAACAAACAGTCGTCTCCTCTACCGCAATCCATGTCCAGTCATGTCACAATATTAATTTTTGAGTGTAGCACAGAACTTAACATACAGTCACTAAAAAGCTGCTTTAAAGAATCCAGTTTTAAACTCTCTCTGATATATCTCCTAGGACAGTGGCAAGTCTTCCTGAAGATCACTTAGATTGTTTATCAATAATCCTTGGATAAAGCGAGTTAATCCAAGTAGATTCCATACAGCCTTGCCGTTGTTCACAAATACACAGTTCAGGTACAGGTGTAGTGTATTAAATGCTGAGCTTTATTTTTCCCAGTCACATAACTGCCTGCTGTTTTCACATTATTAATACACACAGAGGATCCTTTCGTTGCTACTATTTTTTTTTCTTCTTTTTGCTTACATTGGGTCCATAACTCTGCCTCCTTGGTATGTTTGTGCAAGAAAATTGTGTATTCTCTGGTTAAAAGACTCAGCTTGATTTTGCAATAGAGAATCCTGACTGTGAAGCCTCACTACTAATTTGTAGACACATGGTTCTCATCTAGAATGCCATTCCCAGTGATTTTTCTTCATGTAGAAAACTCTAGAAGTTTTGCATAAGGCAGCCTGTCCTCTACCTTTTACTATGAGATATTTCAAAGAAAAGTGACTTACTCTTTGCTGTTGGCAGTATAATATGCTACAAAGAAAAAAATTTCAACAGCATCTTCATCTCCCAACAGAGCGGAAAAGTTCACAGTATCTATCTCTTAGGATGTGCTTAAGTTTTCTAAGGCCCTGGAGGCATTCTGATTCAATTTATAATGCATTTCTGTATTTCCACACTGGATACACAGCCCGACAATATGAACACTCTCCAAGCCAGGTGAACCCAGTTTGCTCCCAACGGTGTGACTGGCCTTGGCTTCTGCAGCGGATTAAGCAGTAATTATCCAAAATAGAGTGAATATTTATTGGAAATTCGCATGGATTTGATTGAATTATCCACTGAGACCACCTGTGATCTGTCTCTTAAGCACCGATCCCTCAGTTTCTCAACTCGGTTGCTGGTGTGAAGAAAATTCCGAATTGGAACTGCCCCTTCCCAGCTGACCTGGAAAATTGGAACTGCCTGTCAATAACATTACACTTGAAATGTCCAGAAGTTTTAACATTGTAAACCGCACACTTTGAACTTGAACTTTTTTGTCAGGAAGTTTGGATGGGAAAGATTGTTCACATATATGTTCAGCAAGGAATGCAGAATCTTTTGATGTAAATCAGATATTTTAACCAAAACAGCGATAAATTGGCAAAACAACTGTGTAATTTGACATTTTTTCTATTTGAATTGAATTACCCCTTGCTAAAGGGAGATATTTTTACTCGGTAACATAAGACCTATGGATGTGAAATTATGCAGCTTGAAATCCTTGTCTTTATTTAACTTCTTTAATAGATCAATACAGATTCTTCAACAATCAAAATCTTGTTTAGCTAAACATATCATACAACAAACTGGACATGCAGCTACAAAAACAAAAATATCATCTCCACAAACAAAAACAATACAAAATATCAATTTTTTCTCACCTGTGAGTTTGATACCAGATCAAAGGGTTATATGAACCTGGAATGTACACTTCACACTGAAGAAGGCTAGTACTATTTTCATTTCTTTAGTAATAGAATTGAGTTACCTGTAGTAGTCCAGAACTCTTCCCCACCTTTGACCCAGAAAATTGGACTTGCCACTACTCAAGTGTCTGGCAGGTATATATGGTGCACTTCAACAACAGCAAGTAGAGTGTTGAACACTCCACAGGTTGTCTTTCTAGAGTTTATAATCACCAGCTCCTTGATTAAAACACAGGAAGAAGTTACACGCAGGATATGTTTTGGCTACTTATCTCCAAAAGGTCGCAATAGTTTTTTTTTACTATTTGGATTTTAGGTCAGGGTGATTTGGAACTGCCTGTCAAAACTGACCTATATCTGACCCGTATACTTGAAAGCACCTGCTGTCCACAAGGATTACACAGCAATGCCTGGTAGCTCTGTTAGTGCCTGATAGCAATTAAGTCCCAGGTGTCTGGACGTCTCAGGTGGTAGATCTATCTGTTTCCAAGTCTCAGGTGGACGATTTGTAACTGGGTGTAACAGACCCTATCATCACCATAAAACTTGGCAATTTGGCAACAGGATATGCCACGGATATAAAAACCAGTAATGTGAACCTTTTGTTGCACTCTGCGAGGGCACATTCGTGTTAAAGCCTTTTCTCTTCTCAAATTGCTGTTACGTCTAGTACATTTTACAAACAATAGTCCCTTTTGTAGGAAATTTGATCTGGAATATCCACTGCAGTTGGTATCACTTGATGCAACAATAATTGTCGGAACAGATCTCCCCACAAATAAAGATAGCACACAGATTTATTCCCAGGTATCTTTTCGATGGTTTATGCTTTCACAGGCTGCCAACCAAAAATGTTAGTAAAGACTTCAGATAAGATAAGTGACTGGTACACCTGACATGTGGAATCCTCACGTGTTTTCAGGAATCAACAGTTTCTAAAAATTCAGCACCTGAGGTTGAAAACACTACTAAAAACTTGTTCACTGTATTCTCTGTGTTTGTCTTACATCATTAGACCTCTGTTTCATAATCTTCCACATGGAACATATCCCATAACATGTTTTGATAGTTCAAAGTTAAAAATATCCTTCTTTTCTTGTTTTTCAGCACATGACTTACAGTCCTCCTAGGCTAAGACTTTCTCTCTATGAAATTCTCCTCTCCCTTTTTCCTGTCTATCTCTCTTTTTCTGCTCTTTTTTTTCTGGGTTAAAGACTTTGAATAATATTGAAACCCTCTGACTTATCCTCTCTTCCTTTTTGTGTCTCAAGACTTTGCAGAAGGTTGAAAGATTCTCACTTCCTCGTTTGCTGTCTGACCAAGGGTTGATTGAGAGACAGATAACATCAAAGCACCTTATATACCTTCATATGGGACTTTGGTGCTACCAATGATCTTCCTACGAAAACGTGGAGCCTGAAGTACTGTTGATTTCTACACCTGTAAAAAGAAATCATAGAAAATTCTTAGAAAGGTACACATTTTGCAGATGCCTATAGTAATCATATTAGTCTTATATAATTGTACACTCTCTTCCTCAAGATGACTCAGTGTGGTGATAAATATATAATATTGGGCCACTTTAAAGTCATCCATTAGAAAAATACCTGGAAAAGGAGTATGTGACATCAGCAAATTGTTTTTTTTTTTTTTACTTTAATAACTAATAAAAAAGAAGACTGAAATACAATTCCTGGAAAACTAGTCAATAGATCATTGGATGACTCCATACAATCACTAAGTTCTTAATCAATGATCATAACTTATACGGTTTTCAAAAATTCCTGGAAAGCTTTGATGTCATCTATCGCAAATCTAATGATTTTTATGACGAAAATATTCTCAAAAACTACCTGGAAAATGAGTGACATCATCGCAAACCCACTCACTGATAATACCGCATCTTTTACCCAATTATAAACCATAATGCAATTAACTTTTTGTAGAACTTCAATTTAACCTTCATACACACCTGCCTGCAGAGTAATAAAAAACGCTGTTATACCGTAATTTCTGAGAGCATTTAGAAGTGAGTAAGCCAGTTTCAAAGAGAAATTATCTATGAAGCATGTCTGTTTTGGGTTGTAAACATACATTATCAGTACAAGGAGTCTGTTATGGGTGAGGGAGGGAGTAAGAGAGTGCTCCTTCCTGGGCAATTTTTTTTATCATGTAACCTGGTGGGAGTGAAGCGGTGATTAAAACACAGTATTGCCATTAGGCAGTACTTTTTAATCGAACTCCTACAAGACTCCCACAAACTGAGAGCACAGTTTGTGATCAGTCATTTCACAATATGATGTCGCCTGCTATCTGGTCTATAAAAAACCATCAGAATGAAGTACTATAAGCAATCTGATTACATGAAGTATAATCTGGTATTATACATGGAAATAACTTTATTAAGATGGTTATATGAAAAGAATTAATCTGAAGTTTTATAGAATTTTAAGCTCAACTTTACATTTATATTTCGAAGGGGTGGGTTGAATCAGGGAACTGTGATTGAGAAAATCTATCCATGAAATGTTATATTATTTCATAACTGTGACTCCTTCAGTCACACCAAAGCCATGAACTGCAAAGGAAGATATCTATTTGATTACGATTCTGCTTGGTAATCCATTTATTACATGTGATATTTGATTTTACTTTTTGTGGAAGTGGGATCACGTATCCCACCTCTCCCCAGGCCTGTAACCAGCAGTTTCAAAGGGGGGTCTATCTGTGAAAAAGTGGACCTTTTACTATGTAATCCTCGTTGTACCTATATCAAATTTTGCTCACAGCAGACAATTTCCTAGAAAAAAGGGCAGTTTGTTGGAATTCCTGAACTTACCCTGGCTATGGGCCTGCCTTTCCCACTGTTCCCCCCTCTCTCCTATATGAAGTCTAGAACTAAAATTCAGTCTACTCCTCCACAAGCCACCAGGCTAACCAGGATAAACATGCTACACCCTTAGCTAATTATGACAAATATGGCAAATATTCATATATACAGAGATTAAATCAAAATCAGGAGGAAGTTTTGCCAAAGGCAGAATGGTAAAAATGGCAGTAACAGGAGACAGATTTCCTAGAGTTCCTCAGCTCCCACCTGGCATGAACATCCTGGGCCATCACCGCCATTGCCAAATTAATGCATTTGTTCCTTCTTCGACATTTGATTAAACTGTACCAGTACCCGGTGCATGCCATCTATCAAATAAGGATGAAGTAATCGCTCCTATTTATTAAAAGAAAAAAGGTTCCGATCTCTGCTTGGTTCCATAAATTTGGAAAACACCTGTAATTCTGCCATTTAAGCTGCTTTTAATCTGCATTTTGACCCCCCCCCCCTCCTCCCCTCTCTCAGAAAGAGACCATAGAGAATAATTCACTCTATGTGTCTGTCGCAGCACTGACAAATCCTTACCATTTCATCTGCAATCAAAAGTTGACAATTACTATAGATGTTGATTTGAATACACTTCAACCCAGGGTATGAAAAAATTATGCAGTGTTCCGTACAAGCCTAATTAAATTAATGAAACATTTTGTTGGAGCTACAATGTAGCGAGTATATACACATCTTGGTACCTTGCTCTTGTAACTCTTACCATAACTTAGACCTAAAACTTTTTCAATCCCAGATTGCCAGAGAATGCATCAGTTCACCAAATGTCAACACAGAAGTAGCACCAATTTCTGAGTTCACTGCTCTGGAATATTCAAACCAAAAGTGGAATGAAAAAAACATTGAATTCAACAAAAAATTGTGATAAACAAAAGAATTTGAGCCACATTCTGCAAAGCTGTGCAAACATATTGCCCACTGCCACAGATTTCAGTGATTTTTTTTCTCCATTTTGTGGAAATGATTGGGTGAACTTTTGAGGATAACTACATTTCATGCACCTGTTTAAAAATTTCTCCTTACTTTCTACGAGTAACTCATGTGATATTTTACTTAAATATCATTAAACACTAATACCTCTTTTAAATTTTTTGTTTCTTGACAGGTCTTGCACCCCCTTTTTTATCATGCCTGTAGCGAACAATTTCAAATAGGTCTTTTCCTGAAAAGTAAAACTTTTTTAGACAAAATTTTGTTTTCTTAACATATTTTGGATCAATTTAAATTTACATAAGACATTTTCCTGACCAAAAGGATGATTCATCTACCCCCCCCCCCTCCCCTCCTGATAAGGACCTCAAAAATATTCCTCCTAGAATGCTCTAACTCCAGGCACTTGTACATAATCCAGGAAATTATGATTATGTCTATCGATTCCCTTTGTTTTATGATGTTTTATGCGTATTAAATTGTCAATCAGCAAGACTAATTATGAATCTACGTAACCTGAAAGCGATAAAAAAAACTTTCCAACCCTGAAATTACCCGAAAATCAAGAATAATGTTAATTGACTAAATCAATTATGAATGTTTGTAATTTGCGAGCCATTAAAGTCTTTTCTGCCCTGGAATTATCCTAGAAATCAAGAAAAATGTGCTCTTAAATCATTTTTGGGTTTAATGATAATTTTTTATTCTATATTACTTCCTCGACTGTTTCTCTGAAAATATCAGCCAAACTGAAACCCACTGATTTAGGAAGATGCAATGTCCTGAATTATGCCGACTGACACACTGTTTCTTCAAAGTCTGACTAGTGCAGCCAAAACCAGATCCTAAAAAAACTTTGTGTGTAAAAAAAGATTAAGTTACCTAAATGTATCACATAAAATGAAAATTTAAAAAATGTTTTGAAAATGATGCTGCTCACCTGGACTTTAACCATCTATTTTCACAGATTCTAATAAAGACACGGTGTAGCTATAAGAACAACAGTCATACGCACTGACAAGTTTTCCCTCCAAACCCGACACTGGATAGTCAAATGGAATCAAGGAATGATACATATAGCATATAAATACCCTCCTCTCACATTACCATACATCATTTCCTAGAAAATAGGATGAAACAGCAGCCAACTTGTTCTAATAATATTAACACAAATTAAAAATCTTGGAAAGAATCTCTGGCGTACAAAAAGGCAATTCTCCTAGCTGTGATATCGCCACGTTTTCACAGAAAATGCCTTATTCATAATGTGCAACAATGCATCCTGATTACTGACGAAGGTTTTTTTTTTTTCGTGTCAACGAATATTGCTAAGAATAAAATATCGTGAACCATCTTTGACATTAAAAAACACTTAATATCCTCTGATACTTCATAGTGCTTTTTTCTCAGAAAATGGAGTGAGTTGGGTTAATACTGAAATCAGATAGCTAGCATTCAGTTCATCATCACACAAGGGAAGATTTTACACTGGGGAAGTTCCTCTGGCCAGGTGAGTCCACACCTACACAACAGGGAATGGTTTACAGACCTTTCAAAGGTCAGTTCATACAGGACAGTTTCTGGACCGAAAATTGATCCAACTTGCACCATAACACAGATAAATTAAAGATGGACCACTGGAAGTAATTACATCATCGTTGCACAGTTCACTTCATCTTAAAATGATTCTTATATGATAGACATTACCAGTAACCAAATCAGCTCACTCTTTTACCATATACCATCTGCTTTTCTCCTCACCCATATATATACAATTATATATAAATGTGATAAATCATTTCCCAGCTAACACACCCAGTGTACCCACTTGATTGCTATCAGTCAGGTTTGATGATATCTGCTGATGTCTATAAAGATGATGCTATGATACGTCAGGGTCTATGTGAATAAATATTATTAATTATAGTATAAAGGAAACAGAAATAAATTACTCAGGCCCGTAACCAGCAATTTCAGAAGGGGGGGGGGGTTCATTTTCTGAAAAAGTGGACCTTTTACTATAAAATCCTCATGTAAATGGATCAATTTTTACCCAGAGTGGACCTTTTCCCAGCAAACTACTATTAATTTTTTACCTTTTATTAATTTCTCCGGATACGTCCATTTAAATTAAAGACCAAATTTTCAGCTTAACTGACCAAATTCTGGTGATAATTGTGATAAGTAAAAATTGTCAAATATTTATAAACGCATTTGTTACACAGGTTGTGTCCAAACTTTTCTTTTACCCAGCATATGAGACTACACTTGTACAGAAATTCCTTTTTTTACCTGATGAGTCACTTGCTTTTAGTTTTTGCACAGTACATGATGTAATCTGGCTTTGTAATTTGGCCAATCCATGATGCTTTCATTACATGCAAAACCTTCATGATAAATTAATTAATTAAATCTAAGCCAATTAATTTATTACGCAAGACAGAGTAATCAATTAATCTATCATGTAACAATCAATATTCAATTAGTATAACGCAATTGTTCATCGTTCCAAGAAATGCTTTTGTGATCAAATAATAAAAGATAAAATGCTTGAAGCTCAAGAACATTCCCCAAAAATTTTAAAACATTTTCCCCTGAAGCCTAGCTGATATCA